AGTTCGTAGATGCGACAGCGAAGATGGCCTGCATCTCCGAAGACGGGTCAGGGCCAGGCATGTAGGTCTTGAACATTTCGTCGACGGTAATCTGCTTCATTTTGGTACTTTGTGGTTGCCTGAGAGAGTGGATCAACTTGAAAGTGCTTTGCCTTCCCTTTCGGCGAATTACCAGCGTTCCGCGAGGCGTTGACTCCTTCTCGAAGACGAATGGTTGGAGAATGACGACTTACAGGACGTGAGCAAGCTCGGATTATATGCAGATGGCTGCCTTCACTCAAGGATGTGGACGAGATAAGAGTAAAACGCGGACACGAGGTCGCGGACAATGTCTGTTGAATTCACCAAGACTCCGCCCGCGACCTGAAGCGGTGGACAACGCTCCTTTACGTGAGTGAAATGCCACTGAAGCATAGTCTTCGTTCATATCGACTCCGATTCTCAAGTTTGAGGGGCACTTACTTGAATAGAGAGGCTGCGTTCGTGGATGGCCGCTGCCGATGTTACGTCCCAGAACCAAGTTCAACCGTTGAAAGTCGGGAAGTCCCGAGCCACGCCAGAGCGCGTCGAGGTACTACATTTCAGAAGCATAACATGGCGAGATGGCCGAGCGGTCTAAGGCGCCAGACTAAGGTCAGGGACCAGCATTCATTGGATGCTCAAATCAGGAGGTCCGCCTTCCTAATCTGGTCCGAAAGGGCGTGGGTTCGAATCCCACTCTCGTCAATTACAGGCTGCAAACTTTAATTTTGAGCTGTTGAAGAGGCGGTCTCGGAGCCAAAACGGGACCCCGGACAGATGCATATGAGTTGAATGTTTTGGTCAGAAATGTAAGCTGTATGTCCAGTCATGAGGGACAAATAGTGGATACTTTGCGCTCGTGCAGGCGCTAGAGCGATACACTTAAATTTCAAGTGAAGTTACAAGTGCAAAAGATATATACATGCTGGACATCAAGTGGCCGAGGCCAGAGCATCTTACCAAAGAAACAAGTCGGCAAGACGAACGAACTCAACGTCCATGCGCACCCATTCACCGTCGAACCACATCACTCACGGCACGCGTGCCTCGTCCCGCGCACCCACATACTTCGCAGCCTTACCACGACGCGACTGCGAAGCATGTCCAGCACGGCTGTGCTCCTCCACTTGCACTTCATGCGGACCTTTACCGCCCCGCCCCTTCACAAAACTCCCCACAACCGCAAGACTCGCATTCATACAGCGAGCTCTCACCGCTTCGAACTCGGCGGAGGACATCCGCCCTTCGTGGTGCAGTCTTATGGCATCTTCAAATTGCTGGAGCATTTCGCGGGTGTCAGGCAGCTTGCTGTTCTGGGATCCGTGCGCGTTGTCTAGGAATAGCGCGATTAACCAAAGCGTTGAGTGTGAGATCGACTGATTAGCACTTACAAGCAGCCGTCGCCGCATCTGCCAACCGCCAGCCTCGACAGAAAATGAGAGATCTGGCATAGTATGCTCAAGAATGAACACTTACGACTGGATCGACATCTAAAGCCCGTCCCGTTTGAAGCGGTCAAAAACGCCGACAGGTCCATCTAGCGAGGATCATATTCTCTGTCAACAATCAGAGAAATCCATCGAGAGCTACTCACAGTCCCAAATCTGGAGTTCTAGCGATATGAAAGTAGAGTGCCCACTCTAACAGCATCCTCGCGGTACTTATGTCGGAGCATTTGACAGTGGTCAAGGCTCGAGACTATAGCGGACAGACGTTGGACATGTACCATGAGACTCACCGTTGATAGCGACCAGTATACACGTAGGTGTACAATTGCATTCGTATCGCTAGGAAACGGTCGTAGGAGCAAAACAATAAACATACGTCGAGGGCTACCGTGACCTCTGCGGCTTGTTCCAGGTGTTGTGATTGTGAGGGCCCGAGGCGCTCCGGCCGTGCCGTGAGGTGACGACCATGTCAAACCGGTGAATGCTGCAGCCTGCTGCAACGACGAGCCGGAAAGAACGAATTGAAGGCTGGCCAGGAACCAGTGCAAAACTCGCACAGCACAGTCGATGATTCCCAATGTCAATATGTCAACATGGCGAGATGGCCGAGCGGTCTAAGGCGCCAGACTAAGGTCAAGGACCAGCACCTCCTGGGTGCTCAAATAGGGAGTCCAGCTTCCTCATCTGGTCCGAAAGGGCGTGGGTTCGAATCCCACTCTCGTCAATTGTTTTGGTATGGCGTTCGACTGGGCAAAGGTGAACGTCTCGTTGGCGCATCAAGTGAGAATTCGCGCGGATGTTTTTCAACGGACAGTACAAGGGAACACAGATTATACAGTGAATTATCATCTGCCCACGGGTCACAGTCGTATCGATGATCACAAACGTAGAGAGCGCGACGGAGCTGTACAAAAGCCTAGGCGATGTCCTGCTTCAGGACATAACGATACCGCACCTTGTTGTCTTTCACGCCCTCCACCGCCTTCTTCACGTCCTTCATCGGCAACTCCTCGATCCTATTCACGGCCAAATCCGTCACGACACCATCTAAAGACCAGAAACTGGACTTACCAGGGCTTGATCCCTTTCTTAGCTGCAAGGTCAAGCATCTCGAGCGCTTCCTTCTTGCTCCCGATGTGAGAACCTCCGAAGAAGCACCCGTTACTCGCAAAAGCGGCGGCGGACGCGCCAGGTAAGGCTTCGTCCGGAAGACCGACCGTTATGAACTTCCCATGGAGGTCGAGCATGCTGCGTTCGTTAGGTGAGTTCTAGGAAGTCGTGGACGCTGACGTGGATCTTACGAGAGATACTCGGTAATGGGGAAATTCTCGGACACGTCGCGAGTAGAGACGATAAGATCTAGACTCATCGCATACTTCTCGTGGAACCCTTTGTCTCCGGTGTAAACGACGTGGTCAGCACCCATTTTCTTGATGTCGTCGTCCTTAGAGTGCGAATGGGTGAAAGCGTAAACCTCTGCGCCGAGGCCTTTCGCGAAAAGGATGGCGTAATGTCCCTATATGATGGTGAGCGAGGGGTGTCCTGGAGAATAAGTTGACCTACCAGTCCGCCAATCCCAATAATGCCGACTTTCTTGCCCGGCCCAGCGCCATTACGCCGCAGAGGCGAGTATACGGTTAAACCACCGCACATCATGGAGCACGCCTCGGCGGACGATATGCCATCCGGAATTGGATATACGAACAGCTCGTTTGCAATAATTCCAGTGGAATAACCGCCCATCGCGCGCACCCCGTCGGGGTAGTTAGCGTTCTGAAGCGCATGAAGTTAGTGATGCGTAATAGCTGTGGTCAGCCGACGAACATAGGTGTCAATCGACTTGCGACAGTAGTTCTCGTTGTCACTCTTGCAGTATTTGCACGTGTAGCAGGAGCCGATCTGTGCGCCGACTCCGACACGATCACCTACCTTGATACCGGACTTGACTTTCGACCCGACGCGAACAGCCGTGCCCGCGATTTCATGCCTACGAAAATTAGCTATGACAGTAGATCCTCGCCCGCAATGGTGCAGCCTACCCAACAACAAGCGGGGTTTCGAACGAGCCCCAACCAGAAGTCAGGGTGTGGACATCAGATCCGCAGACCCTTCTCGAGGCCGTGAGTACGCGAGGCAAATCTGCTACGAATATACCTGCCCGCAGTGCGTGATGGCGATCTCGACGTCACTCTCTTCCCATTTCTTGGAGGGATATTCGATGACTTTGAAGTCATTCCAACGATCCGCGTCTGGGAGGCGCCTTCAGTCAGATTAAGTTTAAGTCAATGCAGCAGAGCGTACCAGTGACAGCATAACCTTGGAAATTTTTCTGCATGTTTAAACGAGACGGCACGCGTGAGAAGATGATCAAAGGGGGTACGAAGGAGGGCAGACTGCTCGGTCGACGGTGCCCGCTGGACTTATATACCTCGCTAGGTCATGAATGCCAGTTACAAGTGGACGTCATAGGAAATTGGCATCGAGCGTGGTCGTGCTGAAACTGGTATCTGGCTTTCCTCTATAAGAATAAATGACGTCGGAGGCCAGCTGTGGTGGCGAGGCCGAATTGGGTACCATGGTTGCTGTTCTGGTCATCCTCGTAGAACCATGAGGGATAATACTGCTCCCGCGATATTGTGGGGGCACCAACCTCCTGGAACTACTTCCAGGAGAGCCTCATGTTAGCAAGGCGAAGAAAAGAGGAATATACCGCGCTGGAAACTGTAGAATCAAGGGGCCGAAATCTCGAGAGGCTGTCACTAGGAGTCAAAGCATTGCAGGAGAAGTGCGTGATGGTGGATTATGGGTGACAATACGATACATATGTGGATGCTGGGGGTGATAGCACATCAAGGTAAGGGAACAATACGTGGCAGGAGAGCCCTGCTATTCTCGCGAACGGTCTACAGATCGTCGAGCTGAGCCAGGCGTGAGCATATTGATGAATAGCGTTCGCTTATGGACGAGAGAAACGCACCAGCGGACGTCACCGTAGCCCCGTCATCCGCAACTACAGCCTTCCTCCACGTCGACCCTCTACGCCGGCACCAGCAAATCCCCGTACTTTCTCGCCAGCATGATGCCTCCGACGAACATGCCCACACCCGTTACAATGTTGATGTTGCCCGGGAGCTTCTCGGGCGCGAAAATCTGCTCGCGGAAGAAGCGCGCGACCGCAGACTCATTCGGGTCTGGCTGCGGGGGGCCGCGTGTGAGGTGACCAGGAGTGTAGTAGGCGGGGCCGGAGCCAGGGGGCGCAGAACGACGGGCCATGTTCTCTGTTTTGTGGACGGGGAGAGTGGGTTTGGTGAGGACTTGTGTGTCGCTGAAGAAAGGCCGACGCCTCGCGTTCGCCGCGGCAACATTTCTCTGATGACAAAGCAGCACTTGCCTAATATGGACTAACCACCCACCGACGCGACTACAACACTAGAATCTCGTACAAAAATCGCAGCCTTCCAGCAAAAAAATCTTCTCTTTCCAACGAGTGCAACGACGAAGATTCCTGGCACCTTGCGAGAATCAAAAAATCGACACCAGCAGGATTTGAACCTGCGCTCCCAGAGGGAAACAGATAAGTACTTATAAATTCGAATCTGTCGCCGTAACCACTTGGCTATAGTGTCTTATTCATCTTCGACTCTTTATTGTATACGGCAGTGGCGCAATATTACGTACTTATCTATACACGACTCTAATATTGAGACGGGAACGTTGCCAAGTCAGAGTCTACGCCTTGCTACCCTCCAAGAAACCGTCTACGTTCATAATCCTAGAGCGCGAACCTAGGACACGTATTGTACGTCTTCCCATATATCCACCTTGCATGATTATTGCATTCTATTCCAAAAGAAATCTATACGAAGGAGCGTTCTGGCGATATGATCCTCGCGAGTTTGCGCCCGATCTCCGGCGGTTTGCAGCAACCTTGCGCACTGATCAACGCTCGATTGCCTTGGGAGATGTCTCCACCCATCGCCCATTTGTTCTCGCTTTCGTTGTTTCGTTGGCTTTCCGAACCCCGTCGGGGTGTATGAAGTATGAAGACAGGTGTAGGGTGGTGAAGTAGAGCCCAAGCGACCACTTACAGCATGCACTCTACCGTGCCTGATCTCGCATGGCCCCCGAACACTTTTGCCTGATAACTACTTACCCCTTTCGTACCAGACGTAAAATCCCCATGGAGCTACGCTTCTCATCTTCCTTCACTTCAAAGCTTTCTTCACGTCCAACAGCAGCTCTGCAATCCAAGCTAACCACCTAGCGACCCGAAGGGCTTATTCCTTGAAAAATGCAGCTTCAATCATCTTGTGGAACGGAGCCAGCCGACAGGCAGGTTTCACAACACTCTAGAATGTAGGGACAGATTCAGACATCTCTAGTCACCCGAATAACTCTGATCCTCCAGATCCTCCAGATCCTCCAGTTACTGACATGTTCTTCCTGATGGGAGTCATGCAACTCAGTTCCCCGATTGTGGCTCTTCGAGCCTCGTCTGCGTCTTCGACGCCTGTCGTCGACACTTCGTACGCGTGTCAATGACTCAACGCTTCACGACCGGCGCCTATCGGGTACTTGTCTAGCGTTGGATTTGTCCGATCCTGGCATTTCAGGTCTGCGGATATATACAAGATAGAATTCTTCACCAAGCCGCTGGGAATGCCCAACGTCCGCCGCTCTGCCAGGTGCATGCGACGCGATTGCCTTCCCAGCAATCGCGAATGTGACTTTCATGGGCGTGCTAGAGCATATGATACCCTGTATGTATTTCTCCCGAGACCTGGCACCAGGTCTATGACGGTGTAACTCATTACTCATCCCTCAGTCGTCTTTGTGCGTCCTTTATTCATCTTCCATCTCCCTGTCACCCGTATATGAACGATAGACAGGACCCTGTATCGATCGACATAGTCGACTACTTCGGCCATTGCTCCACTGGCACCATCAACTCGGCTACTACCTCACATCAATTGCGCCCATCCGGTTGTGCGCAGAGCGATCGTGCTGTATCTCGAGAACTATACAAAGCTCGCTCTCCTCGACATGACACCATCCTCACAATTCTTGTGCGCCTTGAGCCTGTGCACGCTACGACCACCCCTTATCCTGATGGGCGGTCTGTTTTGTTCAAATGCTACATCGCCTCTCCGACTTGTATCTATCGGAGGATACTACTGGGTCCGAGCACGGGATGCTAATTTTCGAGGAGGTGCCAGTATGGTCACTAGAGCGACAAGCACGTTGACACGTAAGCCTTTGAAAGGTGCGGAATTCCCTGTTGGAATTGATTCTCAGCATGTGCGCGAACGGAGTGTGTCAATTACTAGGTTCACTAGAATGGCTCGCAGTAAGGCAAGGCGCAGGCGACTCGGAAGACTCGAGTAAGACTTCAGATGTGTCTGAACCCTACATGATTTGTACAATTCGATGGACTGGGAGGCCGGATGAAACTTCTGCTCGAGTGAGATCATCGCGCCGTCGATGCTACTGGTAGGTTTGACCTCCGTTGCTTCATGTTTGAGCTCATCGAAACAACTTGTGACTTCTTGACGGACCTCAGGGATCAATGCGTACGATCTCAGCAGTGCGCGGGTGCTGTGAAAGATACCCTGTGCTATCCCAAGACGAAGTTTGTGTTTTTCTTCTCGTTCAGATCATCTCCTGATTTATCCTCCAGAGTCATTGCGTCCTATCTTCATAATCCCGAGACTCCAGCTATCCTCGGCGTAGACGACTCCTGCCCCAAAAATTTCAGCTCCTGCGATTGGACAGTCAACTCCGCCTTCGCGAGCAGCGGCGACACAGTGCTGACGTCCTACCCCTACGTGAGCGCCCTCCTCGAGCGCGGGATATCTGTGCTCGTGTATGTCGGCGACTACGACTGGATCTGCGACTGGGTCGGAAGCGAGCGATGGACGCTGGCTTTGGAGTGGAGCGGGCAGAAGGAGTTCCAGGCGCAAGCGCTGAGGGAGTCGACGGTAGACGGGGAGGCTGCGGGGGTGACGAGGAAGGCGGGCAGGCTGACGTTTGCGACCGTGAAAGGTGCGGGGCATATGGTGAGCTCGGGACTCGGATTATACTGCCGTCACTATGGGAAGTCTGTTGTCGATGCTAATGAGTATAATTCTTAGGTGCCCTTCGATGAGCCGAAGCAGTTGTTGGCTTTGATGAATCGCTGGCTCGCCAAAGAAGATCTTTGATTTGAGACTGTTGTTTTCCTACTTGCACTTGCGAGGGACCCGAATATCTCGCCGCGGAATGTATTCCTATCTCTTGGTAACGCAATAGCAAAGTACGACCATCGCCCATGCTCGATGGGCCCGACTAGTCGAAGCTTGATCTTAGTTGACCGCCAAGGAGATCTTTCGTGAGGTCCATCATCCCATGATTTCCATCACTATTCCGCTCACTTATCGCGCGAAACACGATGATGCTAATAGTTCTAGTATCAAGCATTCGGTTTCGAGAACAACGGAATGGTCCTGCAAGGTAGCTACACGCATCATATAGAGTGGCGGCCGGGATCTTGTTTAGGAAAGTTGGATGGCCTTCGCGACGATGGGGAGGAGCAAGCCGCTGCTCAAAAAACTTGGACCTTCCTACTTACCCGCCTCCAGGTATGTAAAGCAGCTTGAGTTCGTTCTTCTGCAACGGTTTCGACCGCCACTGAATATCTTGATCAGTCCCACCCTTTGACTCGGACTACGTTGCCATCGACGGATAGGCTCTGTAGATTTCGCTTTCGCCGAGCTACACGATGCATCTTGTAGTCAGTCATCGCCAGCAGCAGGAGTCCTACCGGCACTCATGCTTTGCCTCGAGGCAGGTGATTCGCCCACGACACGTGCATGACAAAGTTCCTGGCTCCTGGCTGCAGCCTGATCGACGGCGAAGGTGCGATCCCCATTCCTCTTCCATAATGGGATTATCGGTATCTGATATCGTATAGAATGCTTCGCCACAGGAGAGGAGGCATGCTCGGGCTCGGGCTCGAAGTGCGCAGGTGGAGGGGAAGGACAACCCTAACCTTAATATAGTCGAGCTTCAAGGAAGCCGCGTTACAGGCGCCCAACAGACTGTCCAAATGTCCAGTCTCATCGCAAGGCTCTACATGACCGCATGCGAGCATCTGGACACCCTGCAGCAAGACCAAAAATGGATCAAAGGCTAAGGTATCATGGAATCTGGTCAGATGTGTCTGATTCGGGCCTCCCAGACTGAACGCTTAGATTCAACGGTGCTGACAACCCTTTTAGTACATCGTTGTTCGCAGAGTCAACATGATGCCTTATCTGTTCTGCATTCACAGTCGCATCTCGGGGTTCTCCGGAAGAATCAGGTACGTGCACCCTTGTATTTCCTCCCGGGCACGTACTTACAAGGCGTGGCTTGTATTTTTCGACGCGCGCTGTGCGCCGGGAAACTACGTGCCCAAGCACCAGTTCCTTGTTCTCCGAATAGATGAACGAGGTATACTGATTTACGCATACCCGTAGATCTTCCCAATGCGCTCGTTCGCAACCTTGTTTCCTTGGTCCAGCCGAGTACGTTGCTGCTCTGGTACCCTTTGAAGGTGACGAGCCCTTGTTCCTTCTCCATATCATCGGTATTCGTCTCGCGCATAAAGGTCGCAGGCGTACGAAGGGTGAGCACCAGAACACATCCAAGCAAGACACGACAGACACGACCAACCCGACCTAACGTCCATCATGTCCCAGTCGCATGGCCAGCACAAGCACTCCTGGAGAGGCTCTCCCCGACGAAACAGTCCAACACTATCAACTCAACCTTCACAGCACATGATAGAGACTCAGGCACCACAATATACCAGCAGCTACTCCCGACCTGATGCTACGCATTCACAGGTAGAACATGCGATCGACGCTGACCTACAATTGCTGCGCACTCGGTACGCAACTCGGTTGAGGGGTGTATATGTTTAAGCTTTCTGACCCATAACGACGTAGACGCGCTTCCTTCGCTCCCAGTAGCCTCGAAAATGCCCTAGGAGACACGCCTGTTTACACTGAACCTGCACGTAACGAGCCTGTTGCCCCGCAGCCCAGTCCTAGGTCGTCTCGTTCCCGGTCTTCTGCCGCTGGGAACTCCGCTCGCAGGCACTCAACTCACATGACGTCTCCTTATGAGACTGTGTTCAGCATCGGACACGAATACCACGCACAGTGGAAAAATGAACGTCCGCAGGCTCAGCCAGTGGCATCGAGCTCTAAGGCACCGCGCACTCTAGCGACAAATGCTAAAGCTATCTCAGCTCGGAAGGGGCGAGGCGCGGAGGCGCAGGATTTGGTTGAACTCAACAATAGGCTCCCGTATCCTTGGCACGTGTATAAGGAACCACTCACCAAGAAAGTAATCCCTGCGGGTAAGTAGATTGCTGCTTCCATCGACTCCGTACTCATTTTCCAAAAGCAACCAAGTACATTGACGAACTTTCCAAGACGGTGACAAAGAATGACGCAGACTTGAAGAAGAGGAACAAGGATCTCGACTGGCATGTTACAGCCCTTGAAGTTGCGAGAACCAAACAGCGTAGGCTTGAACGCGAGATCGCGGAGATACGTAGTCACAACCATGAACTGCAAGGTATGCTACGATATTATGGGGT